CAATGCAGTCAACTTACCTCCAAATGGTTGGTTGGTCTTCTTGAGGGTTGGTGCTGTATTGGGGAGTCAGCATTGCTTTCTGTGATTATTTTATAAATTGCGATTTTATAAATTGATACCATTATTGACTGCCTATTTATCTTGCCTTTAGGAACATTGAGTTCTTTTAACAATCTTATAGCTCTCTATGGATTGGGTCCCTGGATGCCACACCAATTTTGCAACTCATTGCAATAATTGCACACACCTTGCTTCTGACAGTTAAGTACTGTCACCTGGCTTCTATTATTTCAGGATTCTGTCATCCCTATTAAGGAACCCAGTTCTGTAACAGTGTCTCCTCCGGTGAGCCCGGCATGCAGAAGAGCGCTGCCACGGAGGTTCTCAGTGATTGTTACACTCTTAACAACGCATTCCTTATCACTTTGGTAAATGTGTGTTCTCTGGGGCTTCTCTTAGAACAGAGTCAGCTGGGGGGTTTTCCATCCCTACATAGCATATGCACCTTAGCATGCCCACCCCTCTAAGCCATTTGATATCGTCTTCCAGTCTGCCATGGCAGTTGTGGCATTTCCACTTCACTTAGGTGGGCTGTTGCTTTCTCCAGGCTTCCAAGAGCCAACCTAACATCTGGAGTCCTTGCTAGGGTGATAAATCCTATATCCTGGGAGAGTGTTTCCATTATCAATAAACTCTCCCTCATCCAACTTTAGTCAGTCTTCTTTGTGATTGTACTGCTACGTATGAAAATGAGCCACATTTTCCCTTTTGTGTGCAAAAAGGGACTATAATGGTCCCTTCAATAGGGACTATTTGGCTAGAAGAGAGAGAAACCTGTCATATCCCAGCCCAGGTTCCAGGATGGAGAAAACTGAATGGAGCTCCAGCAGAGTTGCTTTCCAGAGATATGCCATCTTGCAATAATGATATATTCTTGACCCAATTTTAAAAATCAAGATTAAAAGGCTATATAGATTATTCCAAAATATGCTTTGCTTTTGCATATATAAAATAGGTCCTCTAATTTGGTCTTACATTCAGTGTTTATAAATGCAAAAGTAATGGCTTAATTAGTATCTCTGCTAACTTAAATTGCAGGTTTTATCGTAGAACATACTTTTCTGTGGGGGAAGTAGGAAATGAGGGAAACAGTAAGCCCAAATGTTTCCAGACTTTGTAACAAAAGGCTGATTCTTTTCTAGAGATTAACTTTGACTCCTTGATTTTTTAAAATGAATTGCTTCACACAATAGCATTGTTTACCTGGAATTCTCTTCCAAACCCCATTTACAAAAGTGAAGGGTAGCAAATACAATCTATTGAGCACTTATGTGTACAGTTCTGCAGATTGTGTATTGCACAAAGGCACCAGCACATCTAAGGGGGCGTGGTTCGCATGGTAGACATCACGGATTTGCATATTTAAGAGAATTTTCCAGCAGATGGCAGTAAAGTGTCTTGCTTTAACAAAATCAGACTATCACAACAATTTCTGCCAGATGGAAGTAAAGAGTCTTGAGGACTATGCACCTTTTTCTGTTTACACAAAGATTTCATATAGACTAGTGGTGGCAGTGCTTACTACATACCAGGCCCTGTGCTCACCACTCAACCTTGTTTAGTCCTCAGCATCCTATGAGATGGCTGCTATTAGTAGCTTTCAGAAGGCCACTGAGTCAGGATGTAGTAGTTTGAGATTCTAATGTGGCTCTCCAACTCTAGAGCCTGTGCTCTTCTGCACTCAACTATTATATTTCAGAAAACTAAAGCCTAGGGACTTGAAGAGACTTGACCACAGAGAGCCTTGCTGCCCTGACACTCTGTCCAGCCCGCTGCTAGTTCTGCTGTGTGCTTCCCACAATGCTGAGTGCCACTGGGGCCTGAAGAGAACAGGGCACATTTCGCTCAGCTAGGAAAAAGGTCATACTTGAGTTAGTGAAGAAAAAAAATGGGAGAATGATGACATTCTCTTTGGCATTATAATTACATTTGTATGATTTAAACTATACATGCTATGGAAACTCAAAAAACAGAGAACTCGATATAAATTACAGTAGTTCTCAAAGAGTTGGACTTCTTTATATACAAAACACTTGGAATAAACATTTGCCATCAGTAATGTATAAGTTGTATATTTTAGTATAAATTTTAGCAAGAGTGCATTACCACAAATTCTATACACATGGGGAAAATTAGAGGCTTTATTTACTGTATAAATATCTATACCAAACTACCTTGCAAAATTATGTTATTAGTATAATATTCTTGATCGAATGTTGTAAAACTGACAAGCCATAAATAGCACTTAAAATCTCTATAGCAAATACTAGTGAATCATTAATAAAAGGAGGCCATTTATAAATATTTTATATTTATCCCTAATTTATCACTGAGACCTTTTTCCTAAACCCACTGAAATAAACAAAAAAAGTAAAAACTCCATCTTCCATGAAAAGAGCAAACTGCTATAACTTTTATTTTCTATTTTAAAATAGTATAGCATGAATATACTTTTCTAAAAGTTTTTCTGTCTGTACAAAGGTTCAGAGGCATTTGGAATTATGTTAACTTGTTAATAACTATTTTCTGGGTTGTGAGATTTGGAGTGAAGTTTTTGCCTTTAGCTTTATCCTTTCATATACTGCCTAAATTTTTTTAAAAACTTACTGATTATTACAAAAACAATAAAACTCACCATTCTTTAAAGTCATATCACTGAATATCTATCTAATTTTAAGGCCTACCCAGACTTCTTAAAAACAAAACATAATTATTCATATTACTAGAAAAATATTACATAGACAAATTTTAAAAGCCCAAAGGCCCTTAACCAACTGGTAAATGCAATAGTTATAGTTAATACTGTCATTTGATCCTTTTAATCTCTGAAACAGAATAGCTACAAATCAATATTTTCTAGACAGTGAATTTTGTGTCAGAATAAGCCATAGTATACACAGGCCTCCACATCTGCTAGCACCTAACTTAGTGAAAGGGTTGGCAATTTGAAAACACAGCAGACAAATCCTTCATTCTTTCAAGGTCAGTTTCCAAACTTGACATCTTGGATTGGAGATAGCCTCACCCAGGAATTTAAGGTCAGAGTTTATGAATTTAAGGAAAGGGTTGGCGCTTTGAAAACACAACAGACAAATCTTTCATTCTTTCAAGGTTGGTTTCTAAACTTGACATCTTGGATTGGAGATAGCACCCAGGAATTTAAGGTCAGGGTTTATGTTAAGCAGGACTTCAAATCAAGTGTAGAAACAAGCAAATCTTTAATCCTGTCTTTAAGGGGGTAGTTTGAGAGGAAAAGGTTAGAAAAACAGGTCAACCTCCTAGAACTATGAGGTTGTCACTTGTTTTTACATCCTAAATGAAGTATGCCTGTTTTGTGTTCAAGTGTCTTGTGCCTATTTTACTCCCGGTGTCTGGGCAAATGTGTTTATATTAGAAAACTCCATGAGGGCAGGAAATGTAGCTTTTCTTTATCATAAATCATCTGGTATAAACTCCACTTATCTAAGAGAATGGGACCTGGTGTGCCCAGTTGCTACCCAAGATGTGTAACCTATCATTGACTGTCAGATTTCCCATAAATCACGTGTTGGTTTGCACAGAATGGAGCAGTTTACAAAATTGTTACATGCAACATTGCAGGTTATTTTCATAAGCTATTCATAAGTTATTTTATGAGTAAGCTGAGCAAGTATTATCACCCTTACTATTTAACAGATATGACTAGAACCCAGATTTTCAACATCTCTTTTCAGGCACCACTGATATGCATCTATTTCCACAACAGGTGGACTAAATGAATAAAACTAAGATTCAACCAAAAATAAGTTCAACCGATTTTATTCCTGAATTGAAGTCCTAAAAATAAATAGTTCATATAAGCTAAATGAGATATCCTAATGATAGCTGAATTTTAAATAAACTGCAGAGGGAAGGGAGAATAGTGGGACAGGGGTTGGTCTGTCCAGAGACTTGGAATTGATAAAATTCGAACCAGGGGTGAAAATATCAAAAAGTACCATCAATGAGAGACACTATTTTTACTCTAGCACAAATAGAAAAGATTTTTTTATTTTTAAAAAACATCTCAGGCTTCTCAAAAAATAAAGCAAGCTTTATTTTAAGTGTTTTATGTCAAGAAACATTTCATAGCATAAATTTTCCAAATTGCATATGATCAAATTATAACACCCATCCAAATACTAATATTTTATTCCTTTCTTAGTTTAATACTATTTGATGAGCATGAAATGACGTGTAAAGTGAAAAACTTCAACATACAATGGCAAGAAATACATAATAGGAAATTGACCATTCCCATAATATCCAGGGAGGTTTTATCCCAGACAGACTAGTTTCTGTCATTACCAACATGGTCATGAAAGAAAAATGGTTTCATGAAGAAAGATGAAACTATCTGTATTTTCTCAAATTGTTAAAGGGTTCATAAGAGAAGCTGGGCAGGCAGGAAGGAGAGAAAGAAAAGCTACAAAACTGAGACTAGAAATGACATTTTCTTATGCAATGAATCAAAGAAATTACTGCAAGGAAACAAAATAGGCCAGAGAAAGTATTAAAAAGTCAAATTGCAAGCAATCCTAGACTGATATAAGTCAAAAAGAAATGGGACAATCTTGGGTATGAAGAAGTTTAAAAAGATGCAACAAAGTATGCAGTATTAGGAAATGATGACAGAGATGAATCCAGAAAATACCAAAAATAAATGGGTAGGTTCCTTTTGAGAAAAAAGAAACAAGAGTCTGAGAAAGAAACCTGAAAGCCGGCCAGATTGGAAACACTGTGGCCTAGGGTCTCCCTGGTTATCATTCATGTCCTCTCCAGGCCCCCAGGGAGATCACTCTAAGTAATATAACTTTAGATCAAAAGACACACATGCCAACTAACCAAGACTCCTAAGTCTAATCACATATTCCCAAGGTCAGAAACACACTAGAAAGGAAAAATGAAAAGGACAATTCTAATGCAGCTTTTATGTAAAGTTTTACTGAAACTCCCACTCACCCACTTTCACCTCTCTAAGTGAAAATGCATATAAGGTGTGCGCCTCATGGTATTATTTTCAAATTATTCCTTAAATCTCTGAAAATGTGACTTTTGAAACTTGGGAAAGTGAAGCTAGGACAAGGGAATACTGAGGACCCATTTTACACGCCTGCTTCCTTGTTTATTCATGAGCAGAGCTAGACTAAGAAAACGTGCAATGAAAATGGAAAGCACATCTGCAGCAGTATAATGCTTAATATTGACCTCTACCCTAGCCAGCCCCATGAAAGGTAAGAATTGGTTAGGTAAGGTGAGAAAAGAGCTTAGAAAACTTGGGATGAAGAGGAGAGCTTCCTAAGTTTTTAGGAAAACCTGACAGGTTACCCACAGATTCCAAGTGTAGGTTAATGAATTATGTGACCAGCATCAGAGTCTCTTTCAAGTGTCCTGTATTTCTGTCATCAGTTTCCTCTTTCAACTGTTTCCTTCTATATCCTACTGTGGAATTTGCAAGGCCAGTTTTCCTTGCCTATGCTTATGAGGAATTGGCCAAAATAACTAAGAGTTATTGAACCATCTTTCATCTATATCTAGTTGGAGGGGGGTGTGTGTATGGTTTTTAATAGAACAATAACAAATGCCTTAAACCTTTTAACGTCTTTTTTAAATCTACCTTTAGAGCAAATCCTATGCAAATGACCATGAATAATTCCTCATATATTCAAGCCACTAATTTTTAAAGGATTACATTAATTTAGAAAATATTATCCAAAGGTATTTCACACTAGAATGTACTTAGTTCAAATATTTAAAAAGAGCTTTAACAACTTTTATTCAAAAATACTCTGCTGTGAATTCGAGTATAACTTTGCTTAGTTAGTAAGTGGTTGATAACTGTCCACCCTCTGCAGAAGTGTCTCTGAATATCCAGGGGAATAATACCTGAAAAAGAAAATTTTCTATTAGATACTTGTGAAAAGATTCAGCACAGTAGGCACAAAAGATTCAACATAAGATATTTATCTGAAATAACTCTATGAGTGAAACCTCAAATATACCGTGAATAATGATGCTCCAGTAATGCTTTGTGCATAAGGTTAGACTATCGAGAAAGAGAACACCAGCTCACAAGACTGTGCTAGATAAATAGCAAACATTTAAGGGATATCAATGCAATGGCAGAGAAGGGGTATTTTCAAAGCAAGATACTTGAATCCATTGATTGTATTTTATTACAGAGACTTTGTTTTTATTATGTCAAGTGACTGATGTTGCTTTGATGATCATAACTAATAGTTTTTTTTCATAAGTTAGAAAACACAGTCTATCACTACTAATCAATTCTGCATTCTGATTGCCTTAGGAATTATTCTCAACGTAGGTTTTAACCAGATCTGGTCACCCATAAAAACAAAAATTTCTGGGAGTATAATTCACATTAAAGAACTATTTAATAAATGGTTTACAAATATTCCATCATACAAACCTAGGAAATTAATCATTTTCATTGGTTCTTGGGCATTTATAGTACTATGTATTTATAAATTGAACATTTTATAAGAGATGTAATATAAAAGTATTAAATATATTGATTAATGCATTGTAGATGCTTCATATACCATGGAAAGAATTTACATGCATATAAGAGTATGTCAAATAAAATTTGGCAGACATTCTAGAATATAATTAATGGAGAAAAAAATCTAAGTAAATGTAATTTAAAATTTTCCAAAACACTGAAAATAATTAAGCCTCCTAAGGTGTGTTCTCCAGATAAAACCTAATGTTCGAGACTTGCTTTGTCCTTTGTTAGTTATCTTTATCTGTCCTCAGGTGCTTGATTTAAAAACTCATAATTTATATTACACTAATTTCTTCCACAATTTGTCAAGTTAAGGTGGACGAAACAGAGCTGTAGTTTCTCAGTAATGTGCCTACAGGCAGTCATAGTTAAAGAGATACCGACATACACACATAAAAAGCTACCTTAAAGAATGCTGCTCCTCTAAAGGCCTCCTACCCTTGAAAAAATTGTTCTTCAACAGTGGATCTCTTCAGAGTACTCCTACACTGAGGAGTTCACAACTGTTTCTTTCTCTGTCTGAGTTAGTCACAAATTTTAAAGCAGGCCTCACCTTCCTAGGACTTATAAATGTGTCAGACACAAGATAGGTACTTTTCGTATAAATGGTAAGAAGTAGATTTAGAAAAACCAAAACTTTAAAAATTATGCTGTTTAATATGGTAGCCACTAGTGACATGGGCTATTGAGCACTAGAAGTATGGCTAGTATGACTGAGGGACTGAATTTTTTGTGTTTAATTTTAATAAAAACTTTAAAACTGATACTCAATTCAGTTATTGGAAAAATTTTAAGTGTGTTTGGACCAACTTGTGAATCTACATTTTCAACTGTAAACTTTATATAATCTAAATGCAGATCGAGTATTTCTGATGAAATTTAGCATCTGAATTGAGATGTGCTGGAAGTGATAAAATACCCACCAGATTTCAAAAACTTAATATGAAAAATGTAAAATAGCTCATGAATAATTTTTAAGTTGAAATTACAATACATGGATATATTGGGCTAACAAAAATATATTATTAAAATTTATTTACCCTGTTTAATTTTACTTTTTTAAATGTGGCTACTAGAAAATTTTAAATGACATATGTGGCTCACATTATATTTCTATTGGATAGTATTGCTTTAAAATAAAGGTCCCCAATAAATCAGTTAGGATCTACCAATAATTCTTGAGGCTTTACCTAATTGCCAAGGTAATTGCCATTGCCATACTTCTCTCCCCAGGGACCTCAGAGATGTCACAGGATTCCCCACGGAGAAGGAAATGTGCTCAGTACTTATACCCCTCACCCCCAACAGCAGAGCGTACATTTAGCACTGCCTAACTTCTCATAAATGCATACAGACCACGTATGTATCTCAGTATAGACCCACAAATAAATACATCAAGTTGTCTGTCAACTGTCAGAAACCCCATTCCAGCTCGAGTCTGTGTGATACTGAGGAATTCAAAAGTAGCTTCCCATCAGGAAAAAGTTTGGAACCTCTACATGAGCAACTAAAAGCAATTAAAATCTAACCAAAAAAATCTTTATGTCTTTTTCATTTGCAAAAAATGAAACAAATATTTACTTGATATGCATTTATCATCAAAACAAACAGTGAAAAAGGGTAAGTGCTGCTACCTAGTTTCTCCAGTATTATTATAATGTTAAATCTGATCCACCTGATGATGTTATTTAAGCTGGACAGAAAGAAGAATGAGAAGGGGTGCTTAAAGAGGACAATACCAGGTGTTTACTGAATTGAATTCTTCCCATGTGTAAGCCCTCTGGCTAAGTATTATCTCATTTAATCCTGATAGCAACTCTATGAAGTAGGTGATTATCTTTGTCCACATTTTACAGATGAGGAAACTGTGGCTAAGAAGGTTAAGTACTATCTCCAAAGTCACACAGTTAGTAAGTAGTTGGGACTGAGATAAGAACTTAGGTCTGTTTGATACCTAAGCCCAAGCTTTTAGCCATACTTCTCATGAAAGAACCAAAATGAAGCTCCAAAGAACCAGAAATTCCCTTCCTCTGGCTATTAACCACTGCTCTCCCAACTTACCCTCTGCTAACCCTCTGTATGGACTTTAAAAATGTTAGTGAATTAACCTTATCCTAGACTCATGTAGAATTTGGGTTACTATATTGTTACCATACTAGAAACACGCCAGATGGAAGACTATGCATACCTCCCTCCTCAAATCAGATGTTTCCTAAAAGCAACTTCCCCTCCTCAGTTTGGGCAGAGATCCAGAAGACCAGAGTTCCAAAAATACCTTCTAGACGTGGAGTGGGCCAGGACTAGTACTTAGGTCTTCTAACATCTAGTTCTGGGCCCCTTCCCTCTCATCATACCAACTACCTTTCTTAGAAATGTTTAAAGATTACTAAAATTGGAAGGCAATATGAAATAAATGTCTAGGCTAATAACAGCTGAGAGAATGTATCCTTTGATAATCTGTCTTATAAAGAATAATTAGTTCTAGGGCCGGCCCCATGGCTTAGTGGTTAAGTGCGCTCGCTCCGCTGCTGGCGGTCCGGGTTCAGATCCCGGGCGCGCACTGACACACCGCTTCTCCGGCCATGCTGAGGCTGCATCCCACATACAGCAACTAGAAGGATGTGCGACTATGACGTACGTACAACTATCTACTGGGGCTTTGGGGTGAAAATAAATAAATAAATAAAATTATTTTAAAAAAAAGAATAATTAGTTCTAAAACAGTCACTAAGTGATTCTTGAGAATTATATGACTGCAAAAGTAAAACCATTTTGAGATTGTCTACTTTCATGGAAAGAATATTTCAAAGATTTCTAGAAAATGCATCTTATAGAACCTAATGCTTTAGAAAAATATCAGAAACTTGAAAAAGACAACTAACCAAAATTCTTCATGATAATTAGCCAATTTTTTAAATGAAATCCCAGATCACAGGATGTGAGAAGTTAAAAATTTACAATGGTATTTTGACAAAATACCAGATTAAATTCTAACATGACAGAGGTTTTGATTTCCCCTGGTACTCTGTAAAATAATCCTAGAAAGGAGTAGAAAGAAGACTTCTATTCCAGAAAGTGCTTTATCATTGGTTAATTCTAAGAGGTCATTCCATCTTGGGGCACTTTAGTTTGCCCTTCTTCATTTTTCTATAATTTTGTTTATCATAGAAAATTGCATTGAAAGTTATTTTAAACTTACATAAAATTGCATTCTTCCTGAAGGGACATATAGTTCATGTATAAAAATTAATTTTATTTTCTCTTCTTGATAAAAGATTTTCATATTTCCTTCATTTAGTGGTTTCACATATATTTTATATGTTATATAAACTCTGGTATATTATTATATTTGTATAGTATGTATAGTAGATATACATATTATGATATACTACTCCTTTGATATATTTTATATATATTAATATTTTCAAAGCTAACTTATTGGAACTCTTTTGGTCAAGAAGTTTTCATAAATATCCCAAAAGTGCATAAACTCGTACCTCTGGAAAGAATTTAGTGGCAGAATATACATGAATAGAAAAAATTTTAATCTTACAGAAAATTATTTTTGTGCTTTTAAAGTCAGTGTTAGCATATGTATTAAAAACCACTGATATTAAATAGGAAGAATAGTTTATATAAGTTATAACGTAAGTTTTAAACATTGAAATCCATATTCTCTAATATTAATTATAGAAAATAAGAAATGAGTGTAGGATTAGAAAAATATAGATAAATATGGCCTTTAATTCTGCATGTTTAGTGGGCATTTTTCAAGATTCAGTTGTTTAGATCATTGTATCTTTTCTTGGTAACTTTGCTTTTATTTATTTTGGGTTTAGTGGTGTAGTTCTCCTTTAGGCTTACAAGGACTGACGCTTAGGTTTAATACTCTGCAAATCAACCTCATTAAAAAATTTAACCTTGAAAATAGAGGTGCTATATTACTGTTTATATTACCTGCTATATTACTATGAGGCACCTGCATGTCATAAACAGCTTTAACTTTTTTTGAATATAAATAGTAAGTTTCTTTTTTGCCACTCAATATCTCTTTTCTATTTGTAATACTCCCATTAATATAAATGTGAGCTTAAGGCAGAAAAATAACATGCAGGGAACTATGAAAATCAGATCTATAGGCCCTTTATAATTCAGGCTCACATTAAAGATTGTTAATTTAATTTGAACTCTATGTTTGTATACTCTTTAGTAAAGCATGTGTTAAAATTAGCACAGAAATGTCTCAAATGACATTCCAGTTTGATTTGGAAATGTGTGTGTCAATCAGAACATTATTTGATTTGAGGAAAAAAGAGATCAAGAGAGAAGTAAAGGTATACACTTATCTTATCTAGTATAAGTCCACATTTTGACACAGTGTATATAAAAATCTAGACTTGAAAATAGAAAAACTACATTATCATTTTGAACTTCTCAAAGTCCATTTTTCCCACCTTACTATTTCCTCTGGGTAACAGTTGTTAATAATGTTGATGTATTCTTGAAGGAGAGATCCAGGTTCTGCTTTTATCTCTTGAAGCTTTTTAAGTCCACCACTTGTTACAAAAAGTCGTCGAGCTTTGCTGTCATGTGGCAGCACCTTGAAAAGGGAAGCACATAAAAATGTCAGCTTTTCTTTTCCAAGTTGGATTATTACTACCGAAAAGCAATAATATATCTGAGGAAATGTAAAAGAGAATTTATGTCCAATATACCTGTAATATAATGAGCCTAAATTTGCTGATGATTGGAAGTAAAATGCAGTCTTTTTAGAAACGTATTAACTTTTTATGTTGTTGAGATGGAACAAAGGCAATGAACAGGAGCAAAGGCAGTGGAGGTCCACGCATATATAAAACAGTGGTCATGTGCTGTTTCTCCTTTGCTTACACCCACTCAAAGTCTCTCCACTGCCTACAAAACTAAAGGGAAATCCTTAACAAGGCATGGAAGGCCTTCTGTGACCCAGCTCCTAAATATCTCTCCAGCTTCTTTTCCCACCAATCTCTATCCCAAATTTTGTTCAGTAACCTCAAAGAGTACATGCTGGGCCATTTCTTGCCTTTGCCCATGCTGTGTCTTCTTCCTAGAATGCCCTTCCACCCCCCACACATCTTCCCCCATTTGCTTGGCTAACTCTTGCTCATCTTTTAAGATTGAACTCAGGTGTCACCTCCTTTAAGAAACTTTCTCTGGGACACCCTACTCTCTTATTCCAGGATGAGTTAGGTACTTTTCTTCTCTCATACCATTCATTAAGCTCCTATTGGTGCACTTGCCACATAATATTTTAATTATCAGTTTATATGTCCATCACACATAAATGTCATTGAAGGCAGAAACTAACCATTCATTTATTCATTCATTTTTCTAGTGCCTGGTGCCAAAATAGATGCTCAATAAATGTTTAACAAATGAACGAACGTACTAAGGAGTAGGCAGAGAAAGGAAATTGAGGAGATGTTAAAGAGACAGAAGAAAAATCAGGAAAGTAAGGAATCAACAAATCCAAGAGAAGATTTTAAGAAGCAACAAATGAGAACTGAAAAAAGGCCCTGGATTTGACAGTGGATGTTTGTGTGTTGAGAGGAAAGAGCCAGTGGAGATGGAGAAATTAATTATGCAAGACCATGACAACTGACCAGGCAAGGAAGCTCCTGGAGAGGGGCGGGTTCTCGTGTGGGACTTCCTGCTCTCTCTTCCTTGGCCATTGCTACTATTCCCTCTGACAGAAACACCCTTTCTTTCCCCCTCCATTCTTAGTCTGTCTTCAGAGAACCAGCTAGTTTCACTTGGTACTTCCTCCATTGAAGCAATCTCTGAATACCTCAGACTGCATTCACTTACTCCTTCTTAAAAAAAAAAAGTTTATTATGAAGTCTAGCACATTGAAGTGTTTTCTAATTGTTTTGTCTGGTTTCCCCAGCTAGATTATAAAGTTCCTTGAAGAAGAATTTTGTCTTGGGGCCGGCCCAGTGGTGCAAGCAGTTGGGTGCGCGTGCTCCGCTGCGGCGGCCCGGGGTTCGCTGGTTTGGATCCCGGGCGCGCACCAACGCACTGCTTGGCAGGCCATGCTGTGGCGGTGTCCCATGTAAAGAGGAGGATGGGCACAGAGACTGGCCCGGGGCCAGTCTTCCTCAGCAAAAAAAGAGGAGGATTGGCAGATGTTAGCACAGGGCTGATCTCCTCACAGAAAAAAAAAAAAAAAAAGAAGTTTGTCTTATTCTTTTTTTGTCCATCCCCCAATGCTTAACAGAGTACAGGTAGGCATTTAACAAATACTTAAAACTACAAAAGGATCTGGCTAATAGAGTGTTAATACACATCAACTGGACAATAAAAGATGACACTAGTATGTGTTTCTAAAAAATGGAATGATATATTGGTTTTAAATATTTTGTTTGACCTGGGGAGTTTTCATGATCTCCTATCTCTGTCCCCAGCTACATTAAAGAAATATCTTTTTACCCTCCATCTTGCTTTCCCCTCTCTTTCTCATGCTCTGGTATCCTTAGATTAAGAAAACACAAAATTCCGCCTGAAGCAAATATTCCTGAAGGAACATCTACAAGTATATGATACGAGGTACTGTCTTTATTTTTTCTTGGCTATCTAACTTCCACAAATCCCACTGATTTATTTTTATTTACTTTTGTGACTTATTTTGAACTCTGAATTCAGGTTTAGTGTTCATTTTCATAGCAAGTTCAATAAAACTAGAATATCTCACTCAGTAGTCTAAAAGATTAAACTACAAAATGAAACTTTCAGAAATAATGTCAACTACTCATTTTCAAGAGCTGATGACTCTGTCTATAGATTATCCACTCAGCTCCTTACTCCCCCTCCCTCTTAGCTGATCAAAGTAGCTGGTCAGTTTCTTACCTAACACCGAGAAAAAAAAAAAGTTTAATTATTTTCTTAGAAGGAGAAAGACAGATCATAGGTGCCTGATACACAGAATTGTATCCTGAGGTGGCTTCAGCAATGCAAAACCTTCTACTGTCCAGGGGCTATGGTGCTTGAGGGTCAGCCAAGCTGTTGGAGATCATGGAAAGAGTTCAGAGAACTGAAGTCTGTTAGTATCTTTCAGATGAGTACCTAAAACTAGACCTATTCAACTGTAGGGCCTAGTTTAAAAGTTATAGCAATATATAGTTTTCATTATTTGTAGAAATATAGTATACAAACAGTAGTACCTCCTTTAAATAGCATTATAACTGACTATTCAAATGAATTTGGCCTCCTATTCATTCTTAATTTTTTCAAATCAACCTTAGCCTCATGGTTTCTCTCTTAAAAACAACTTTTTGGTTTTGTGTCTGTGTGTGTAGTTTTTATTTTGTTTTTGAGTGCTTAATATGTGCCCAAGATTGAACTAAGCTCTTTACATAGAACATCTCATTTAATCTTTACAATGACCCTATGAATAGGTACTACTCCTATTATCCCCATTTTATGGGTAATCATACTAAGGATTAGAGAGGTCAAGACTTTGCTAAAGATATTACAGCTGGTAAATGTACATCCAGGCACCCTAATCTAGAGCCTGAGCTCAGAGCCACTATGGGATACTGCTTCCAGAGACTCTATCTTCTTAAATCAAATCTCCTGAGCACAGTATAACCGGTTCTTGATTGTTCGGGTCACCGCAGCCACCAGTGGCTCTGGGCGTGCAGCCGTTCTCTCTCAGCCTTTGCTATCAGTAGTCAGTCCTGCTGCCTAGATGCCCACTTCTAGCAGCTGGACCTTCCACTTTCCTACTTTTAATCTGCAACAATCTAAGAAATATGACAGCTACATTTGTTAGAACTGTTCATAAGTCAATAAACTCCAAATGACTGTCTGAAAGCATCTCCAGTAAAGTGCATGAAGTTTGTAAAAATATTTCAGTGGCTCAGAGACCTTTTTCCTTTTCTTTATAAGATCTTTGCAGTGTTCCCAGATGAGTGAGACTAACAGACACTGGGAAAATTACTAAAAATTACTTATTAATATAAATTATCTGTATTATGAGGTTTTTATGTGTTGACATACTATTTACTCCCCAAGAACACTAAAAAGGGCTGTACAGAGGCTGTGAGGAAAATGGGAGGAAGAAAGAAGTGTGAATTATTTCTATGTGAATTTTATTAACCTATGTTAATTTTATTAACCTATGTTACCTTCCCTGTCAATACAATCAGTGAGAGTTAAGTAGTAAAACCCTGCCCTCATCTTACAGAAGAAAACATTGGCCCAACAGAGAAAAGAAGTTAACAACTCATTTTAATTTTCTTCCCCCACTTCCAGGCTGAGAGCATTTCTTACCTTACTGAACTGTCCAATCACATGCTTCAAAATATTGGGAGGAGCATCATACAGAAATGGCTCAAGGGCTGGTAAATAGGTGCATTTTTGTAGGATACTTTTTATGGCTTTTTTACTCTATTGAAATAGAAAACAAAATGCATACCAAAATAAGTCATCAATGAAAGCTTGACAAAAATTCATGTCATATGTTCCTGGAATTTGAAAATGAAGTCAATTTCCTGGTCTAACCTGGAGTTCTTTCAAATTTTAAATTAGTTGTCAGAAAACTCCTTCTATCTTTCATTGGTTTTTATTGTAGAAAACCCTGCCTATTGTCTTTATGTTAAATTTTAAAATGTACAGTGTATTATTGAGCTCTTAACATACCTATGAGGAAATTAAAATTATAAAGCATAAAACTATAGGCTGTAAATTAATATGTATTATATTTTATTAGTGTAAAAATTTTTACATATGGAACTGTGAGATAACTAATATGTCCTATTCCTTCCAATCAACATATATGAGAAAATACCTAGTTTATTGTATAAAGTCATTATAAGGCATTCTGTGTTCTCCAAAAGGTTTCATGGCCTGTAGGTATGTGGCCAGAAATATTCTCCTGTGTGCATCAGTCAGTGGGCATTTGCAGATTGCTGCTAGCTCATGGAGAGAAATTGCCCCATTCTCAGATGGAAGCAAAGCAGAGAGGATCTACTCGAGGGAAAAGCTCCCCTCAACAACAGGGAGTGTGTCACCCACAAGCAAAAGAATAAGTACCTGCGTGGACCTTTCCCACTCTCCCCAGCACTCTGTATTTCAGTGGCACCACCTGGTGCTGCCCCTGCCACAAGTGGCTGAAGAAGGGCGCGGAGGTGACTGTAGCACGTCACTGCAGCCAGCCCTAAGGCCATGGCTGGTTGTGATTCTGTTTCTCTGTATTAAAGCCTGCCCCCTTTACTTTGGAAGCCTTCAAAGTTGGGTTTCTCTACAGCTGTTTTCCACTAGAAATCCATACCTGCTTGTACGTGGTTTTGTGCTTCAGTGCATCCTATGGCCTTTCCTCTGATCACCTATTCTCTCTCTGAGGCCTGAGCCGACCTGGTCTTCTGGGATCTTGCTACTGAACGTTTAGCAATGCCTTTCAAATTACAAGGAGCATTCTGATTTTTCACATCATGAATTTTACAATTGGTAAATGGATTCTGCAAAAACTTGCATCACATTTGTGCTATCTGTAAAGGATCTCTTGAATTTATGGTTTCCCAGAGACCCAGGCTAAGCAGTTTTGTATAACCTCTTATCTCTTGACACATTTGTCTTCAAACAGTTTTATAAACTAGATAAAATAAAACCAGGAATGTAAGAAATGCAGCTCAACTTTTTTCCCACAAGTAGTATAACAAGTTGGAATTAAACTCTCGATTCCCAATATACCTAGTTATACCTTTGTGACCCATCTTAGGCTCATGGTGACCTTAGCAGGCCAACAAATTTAACTTAACTGCTGTTGGTGACAGGGTCTCCTAACAGTATAGCAGAGATCACATTCACTGTACCAAGCAGACAGCCTTACTCTGATTCTAAAAGTTCCAAGTTGGCAATGTACTGTCAAGTTATTAATCAGGAACTCTAGAAAGGAGTCTAATGACACTAGAAATTCACTGAACTTGACTATCCTTCGTCAAAAAATATACTCTGTTTACAGCTACTGTATACTTCTAGATAGGAATGTATGTCATGATTGATAATCAGCCGTATTATCCAGCATGAAAAAAATATTAGAATATTAGTTAATAAAGATTTTGTTTACTTGTCAATTTCTGGACTTAAGATTTTTTAACAACTTTATTGAGATACAATTTACATACCATAAATTCACTCATTTTAAGTGCACAATTCAATGGATTTTTAGTCGATTTACAGAGTTGTGCACCCATCACCACAAACTAATTTTAGAACATTTTCATCATCCCCAAAAGAAACTTCATCCCCATTTGTAGTCACTCCCTATTCCCTCTCCCCACTCACCCCCACCAGCCCCAGGCAACTACTAATCTACTTTCTTTCTCTATAAACTTGACTTTTCTGGAGATTTCATATAAATAGAATCATACAATATGTGAACTTTTGAGTCTGGCCTCTCTCACTAAGTATAATGTATTTGAGGTTCATCCATGTTATAGCATGTATCAGTACTTTGTTCCTTTTATTATCAAATAGTATTCCATTACACAGATTTGCCACATTTTGTTTATCCATTCACCAGTCAATGAACATTTGGGTTGTTTCCACTTTTGGCTATTATGAATAATGCTGCTCTGAAGATTCATATATAAGTCTTTGCGAAGACAAGTGTTTTCATCTCTCTTAGGAAGATATTTAGGAATGGAATCGTTGGGTGATCATGGTAAAGTTATGTTTAACATTTTGAGAAACTGCCAAACTGTGTTTCAACATAACTGCAACATTTTACATTCCCAATAATAATGTAAAAAGGTTCAAGATTCTCGACATGATGGTCAGCATTTGTTATTGTCCATCTTAGTAATTATAGCCATTCTGGTAGGTGTGAAGTAATATCTCATTATGGCTTTAATTTGCATTTCCCTAGTGACTAATAATGTTGAACATCTTTTCATGTGCTGATTGGCCATTTGTATATCTTCTTTGGTGAAATATCTGTTCAAATCTTTAGCCCAATGTTGAATTGGGTTCTTTGTCTTATTTTTGAATTGTAACAGCTCTTTATATCTTTTGAATACAAGTCCTTTCCCAAATGTGTGATTTGCAAATATTTTTTCCAAGTCTATGGCTTGTCTTTCCATTTTTTTAATGGTGTTTTTTGAAGCATAAAAGTTTTTAATTTTGATAAAACCCAATTTATCAATGTTTTCTTTTATCACTTGTGCTTTAGGTGTCATATCTATGAAATTGATGCCTAATCCAAGGTTACAAACATTTACTCCTAGGTTTTCTCTAAGAGTTTTATAGTCTTAACTCTTATATTTAGATCTATGAGCCATTTTGAGTTATTTCTTGTGTATGGTATGAGATAAGCATCCAAATTAATATTTTTGTATGAGGATATAATAATTGTCCCAGTACCATTTGCTGAAAAGACTATCCTTTTCACATTAAATTGCCTTGGCACCTTTGTGAAAAATCAGTTGACCATAAAAGGGTCTATTTCAGATGCTCAATTACATTGATATATATTGCATGTCTTTCTGTTAAGCCAATACCACACTATCTTGATTACTCTTGCTTTATAGAAATTAGGCATTGTAAGTCCTTCTTTTTCAAGATTGTTTTGGCTAGTCTGGGTCCTTGGCATAGCCATGTGAATTTTAGGATCAGCTTCTTGATTTGGCGGGGGTGGGGGGGGGGGTGGGGGAAGCCAGCTAGGATCTTGATAGAGATTGTGTTGAATCTATAGATAAATTTAGAGAGTATTGGCATCTTGACAATATTGAATCTTCCAATCCATGAACATGGAATGTCTCTCCATTTATTCAGATTTTCTTTAATTTTTTTCAGCAATATTTTGTAGTTTTTAGTGTACAAGTCTTATACTTCTTTTGTTAAATTTATTCCTAAGTATTTTATTCTTTTTGATGCTATTGTGAATGACACTATTTTCTTAATTTCACATTTGAATTGTTCATTACTAGCATATGGAATACAACTGATTTTTATATATTGATGTTACATCCTGTGACTTTGTTGAACTCTTACCAGTTCTAGTATTTGTGTACATGTGTATTCCTTAGGATTTTCTACATACAAGATCATGTTATATGTTGGGTTTAAGATTTGTTAGCCTTTAGAAAATGTGCCTTATATTTGTTTATTTACGGCTGTGACCAAAATAAAATAGTTCTTACAACTTCATACTGTGAATTGTACAGAAATTATATGGGGTCAACAAACTTTTATTTACTTAATTCAGTAAATCAAGTAATATCTTACTTTGAACTAATGAATAACAGATTATTAATTTTGCTAATTGTCACTGCATTTAGTAGCTAGTGTTTATCCTTAGACATACAAGATATACGATGATGTCAGAGAAAGGGTCATACACTATTGTTATTTATTTAGGGCAACTTGAGTTTGAGCCTAATTTTCCTGTGAATTAGCATAGCATCTATAGTTTTACATTCATTCATTTTTCTATCATTTCTAAAAACTAACTCTGTCCACACTGATCAAAACTGTTGCTGTAAAAACCACAGTAAGTGACTAGCAACACTATTTTCTACCTCCTAACAACACACATAAGAATAATACTATAATTAACAAAATAAAATTGTCAATACTATACAAACAGTTGAAACCGCTCCAGTTGTTTTTCACAGAAAATGAAAGAAATAACAAAAATTATTCATTGTTGCTTTCCTTAATGGATGACCTTTAATGAAAACTGGTTAAAATGAAAAGTGTTTGTTACTCAAAAGTTAATTTTGTTCTGAAAGCATTCTGGCCCAAAGAGTTATACAGTCATGCGTGGCTTATCGACGGGATACATTCTGATTTCATCATCGTGCAAACATCATAGAGTATACTTATACAAACCTAGATGGTATAGCCTACTACACACCTAGGTGATATAGTATAGCCTATTGCTCCTAGGTTACAAACCTGTACAGCATGTTACTCTACTGAATTCTATAGGCAGTTGTAACACAATGGTAAGTATTTATGTATCTAAATAGAAAAGGTACAGTAAAAATACAGTATAAAAGATAAAAAATGGTACACTTATATAGGGCACTTACCATGAATGGAGCTTGCAGGACTGGAAGTTGCTCTGGGTGAGTGAGTGTGTGGGTGGTGAGTGAATGTGAAGGCCGGGGGCATCACTGTACACTACTGTAGACTATAAACACTGTACACTTAGGCTACACTAAATTTATAGTGTATCTTTATCTTTATCTTTCTTCAATAATAAATTAACCTTAGCTTACTATAATTTTTTTACTTCATAAACTTTTAAATTTTTAAAAATTTTTTGACTCTTTTGTAATAACACAACTTAAAACACAAACACATTGTACAGCTCTACAAAAATACTTTTTCTTTATATCCTTATTCTATAAGCTTTTTACTATTTTTAAAATTTTCTATTTTTTATTTTTTTACTTTTTAAATTTTTTTCTTAAGAACTAAGATGCAAGCCCACACAGTAGCCTCGGCCCACACAGGTCAGGATCATCAGTATCACTGTCTTCCACCTCTGCATCTTGTCCCACTGGAAGGTCTTCAGGGGCAATAACATGCATGGAGTTGTCATCTCCTATGATAACGACACCTTCTTCTGGAATCTCTCTTGAAGGACCTGTGTGAGGCTCTTCTTGAAGAGATATAACTCTTTTCAGAAATATGTCCATGGTGGTTTGCCTGGTTTGTTTCTTTTTTTCATCATAGATTTTCTTGTAAGTACATAATGCACCATTCCTCTCTAGTATGTACTATACATAATTGTATGTGCTATACTTTTATACAACTGGCACCACAGTAGGTTTGTTTGCACCAGCATCACCACAAACACGTCAGTAATGCTTTGTACTATGACATTATGACGGCTATGACATTACTAGGCGATAGGAATTTTTCAGCTCCATTATAATCTTATGGGACTGCCATTGTATACGCAGTCCATCATTGACAGAAACATCATTATGCAGTACATGACTGTAGTTATTAAAATGAAGGGGGAACATGGGAATAAACCTTCATGACTTTGGGTTAGGCATTCTTCTTAGATATGGCTCCAAAAGCACAAGCAAAAGAAAAAATATATAAATTCAACTTCATTAAAATTTAAGAATTTTTTGCTGCAAACAGTACCATCAAGAAAGTAATAAGACAACCCATGGATTGAGAGAAAATACTTGTAAATCATATGTCTGATAAGTACTTGTATCCAGAATATATAAAGAACCCTTACAACTCAATAATAAAAAGATAAATATCCTAATTTTAAAATGGGCAAAGAGTCTGATTAGATATTTCTCCAAAGAAGATATCTGAATGGCCAATAAGCACATTAAAGGATTTTCAACATCATTAGCCATCAGAGAAATACAAACCAAAACCACAATGAGATATCAATTCACACCCACTAGGATGTCTATAATAAAAAACAAAGATAATAACAAGTGTTGGCAAGGATGTGGAAAAACTGGAACCCTCATACATTGCTGGTGAGAATATAAAATGGTGCTCACACTGGAAAACAGTTTAGCAGTTCCTCAAAGTGTTAAACAGAGTTATCACATGACCTAGCAATTCCTCGCCTAGGTATATACACTAGAGAAATGAAAACATATATCCACACAAAAACTTGTACGATAATGTTCATAGCAGTATTATTCCTAAGAGTCAAAGAGTAGAAACAACCCAAATGTCCATCAACTGGTGAATGGATAAACAAAACATGGTATATCAACACATGGAATTTTATTTGGCAATAAAAAGGAACAAAATATTGATACATGCTATAACATGGATGAGCCTTGAAACTTATGCTAAGTGAAAGAAGGCAGGCCCAAAAAGGCACATGTATTGTATGATCCCATTTAAATGAAATGTCCAGAAGAGGCAAATCCACAAAGACAGAAAGGAAATTAGTGGTTGCCTGGGGCTAGACAGGGAGGATATGGAGTGACTGCTAATGGGGAAATAAAAACATTCTCAAGTTAGATTGTGGTGATGGTTGCACAATTCTGTGAATATACTAAAAACCGCTGAATGATACACTTTAAATGGGTAAATTATATGGTATATGAATTATATTTCAATAAAGCTGCTAAAAAATGAAGGGGAACAACCATGACAACAAGAACACAATAATTAAATCAAATAATTATCTGAGAAATAGTTTTATAAGTAAGGTACTAGAATGAACTTATTCAAATGCCAAAACTAAGACGGAACATTTCAATATGATGCCTCTAAATCAAAACAAATGAAAATGCAATTAATTGCCTGAACATTTTCAAAATATATGTAGGTAAGCTTATTAGAGAAAAGATATATTTTTTCAGTTTTTAATAAGGTATTTATTTGAAATAATATAGGTGCAGGCAGACAGTAAGTCTCTGTGAAAACATGTGAGAAAATTCCAAGGGGCGGCTCATTGGTTCTCCTGGATCAGAACCAATTAGAGAATGCTTACAGGAGCGGACATGCCTTTGGGACAAAACGAACTTCAACATGGCCTTATAATTTGAAAGCTACCACAGAGTAACAAATGAGAAATACCAGTAGACAATTCCTGAAGCTCTTGGATACATTTTTCTCTACTGAGATAGTGTCAAATCAAACAGACTTGGACTTTCATTCTAAAGCCTTTAAAACAACAACTGATAGAATCCAAGAGACCTTAGGGGAAAAAAAAAATAATGATCCAGTCCCTACAATAAGAAAATATTTGGATGGACTTAGAGCCTTGGAAAGATTGCTGACAGGATAATGATTGATAAAGATCCCACTTTTTAATTTAATACACAGTATATTTCCTGAAAGTAAATGTTGTATCAAATATAGGCAGAAGGAACCTTAACTTCTATCAGCAAACCTAAATGTTTTAATAAAACCACTTTTGTTAAACTAAAACACAATAAAAATTATCTTACTTCAAAAAGTGAAGTTTTCAAACTTATTTTGCTCATGATATTTATACAATAAACATCATGATAATTCATTAAAAACCAAGTTATATAAACTTGGTAGCATATAAAAAGTATGTAGTACTACCTAAGAGACTATATGCAAGGGTTTCTCAGCTATAATTATTATTGACTCCAATATTAATTATTCATGCTTTAGCTCATATATTTCTTTATTTCCAAAACTTAAAGGAAAATAAAAGTTGTCAAATGCAGGAATCTGAAAGTGATAGAGACTACTTTAAAAATATTAATAATTTATCTGTTGATAATCTAGAAGTTGAACATAATTACTATTATAGCCTTGGCCCAGCTTATACCTGCAGAGCCCCTGCAGAGGAGGCCACAGTCATTGGATCACTAGAGGTGAGGCTGGGGAAGATAAGGAGTGAGGAGGAAAGAAGAAGTGGGGTGGGGGGGCAGGGAAGGGAAGAGGGAGGAAGAAAAAATGATAATGGGATAAAGAAATATGAGGCTAAACGAGAACTACATATCTATAGGTTAAAATTATATACATATATGTAAATCAGCTGTACGTGAACAACTCAAAACTGGAAACAGAGTTGTGGTTTCTCACCAGAAAGTCAAAGAATCACAGAACTGTTAAACGGGAAAAGACCTTAGCAGACTGTCAATCTTACTCTCTCTACCAAGTATTGCCAAGGAATGCATTCAGCATCAGAGAACTATAAGGGAAGCCCTAAATCTATTAAATCATTGCTTTGATCTAGAAAGTCTTATAAAAATTGAAAAAATGTTCATCTTAAAAATCAACTTCCCTCAATGAATTTGTAGAGAAATAACATGTAAACCTAACCAAATAAACAAGTTTATAAATTCACTTTTATAAAATTTATAAATCAAATAAATGATTCACTATACTATATAACTTCCAGAGTCCCTCAACTATACAGTTCAAGTAAACTTCCTGCCTCATACCATCTAAAAGTAGTTTCAGCAAATGTGTTTTCCTATTTGTTAGTTGATTCTTTTAATTAAAATTTAAATGTAATTTAACTTACTGTTGCTAATTTTATTTTGAATTATTGTCTTTTCTGTGCACTTCCCTCAATCCAAGTCAATTCTGAAAGCTGCTTTCAAAAAGTTCTGGGTTTTCCTAATAGGAAGTATGCTGGGAAACATTTTTTTCTTTCTTTGAAATCCTAAAATTGTTAAACAACCCATCCTATGTTGATTCACAATCATGTTTTGTGAATCATTTTAGTAGCTAGTAATATTTTTTTCAGAAAGCTTGCTTTTTTTTAAAAAAATACACGATTTTAAAATGTTTAATTTAGTGAATCTTATGGACATTTTTAAGGAACAAATATAAGACATATAATTAAAAGATCAATTATGACTTTAGGAATACTCTCTGACCGGTTATATTACCTGTGGAAAGTACCTTAAATTCTTTTGGACTCAATTTTATAATGTAAAGTTGACTAAAGTTCTCTCCAACCAATTCCAACTCCAAAATCCTGAATCCTAAATCCTCCAAAATCCTTCAATTCTTATTCCCTAAGAAAAGTCAACAGAAATGTAGAATGCAACAAGTATTCATTCATTTTACAAACAACTTTGCACCTGTAGAAAACTTTCTTTAAAATATATCACTCATTTTTAGAGACAAGGGTAACCTATTTTCAAGGAAGACTTGCCTCATTCTTCTGATAAATCTGTATTTCTTAATTCATAAAAGCAATATTGTCCATAATGAAAATTAAAACACTTTAAATTACGTAACTTTAAGAATGAATCAAATCTAACATCTTCAAAGAACAGTTAGGAATTAAGCACTCACTTTTACTTGCAGATCCTCAGAACTTTCTGTTGACATGTACAGAGAAAGCAGCACCGGCAAAGTATTTGTGACCGCGACAGCCCGTGCATGCTCCGGAGTGTGTTTCCCAATCTGTCCCAAGGCCCAAGCCCCAGCGGCCTTAATGTGATCTTCTGGTTCTTCCGACAGGCAGACTGACAACTGGGGCACACCCTGCAGGGTGGATCAAAAGAGCAAGTGTTATGAATCTAGAGCAGGATTAAAGAGTCTTCCATGTCTCTCAAACATTAGAAGGAATCATTTTGGCCTTGATCCTTTTTTCCCTAAACAGTTCAATAAATGAGCACATCACAGGGGCTGTCATTTTTCAAGTCAATAAAATGACTAGAACTAATTTACCTTAATTATCTGTAACAATCCAACTAAACTAAGAATATCTCTGCTAGCGTTTACTCCCCAAACAGAAAGGCATTTAACCAAACAACAGATGCCACAGACTAGTATATATGCAAAACCAGATTCCACTGTGACAAATTAACAATGCTTAGGATTTTAAAACCTTTTATTTTTCTTTGTTAAAAATGTTAATTTAGAATCCTTAAAAAAAATTGCCTTTTCACCAAGTATAATAGACCTGAGAACAAAATAACTGCTACAGATCTAAAATCAAATGAATAATATGAGCAAGAATCCTATTTAAGTAGCTTTTAGATGAAATATATTCACAAAAACCTTTCCTGAAATAGTAAATAAATTTCCATTAATTTTGGTCAACTTTTAAATGACAGTTTTGCCCATTTTAATATGATGAAATGTCAAAGTAGAAATGATTACTTTTGCTACACAGATAGCACGGGCTTACATTTTGCACTTTAGGCTTCAATTTTATCTAAATAATCAAAACAGAATTAACTAAAGGGCCTCAAATACATCACAGTTTATATACCCAAAGAAGAACCAAATAACCAAATCAAATTATAATTCCAGATTCTGTATAGGCACAATTTTCTAAGTAATTTCAGACTATAATAATTATCCCCTTAAATTTAGTACCACAAAAGCCATTATCACATGGTCATGCCACCAAAGCAAAGGCCAAATAATCGTATATACTTTCTTCCTCCACCTTTAAATTTGGTTATTAAGACCAATTTCCTGAAGAGACCTGCCATATTTCTTCATTGGCTTCTTTCTTACAACTAAAAATGTGAGTCTGCCAATATAAAAGGTCAAACCTGTCTTCAGAATGAAGCCACTTTCCGGAAAGCCCATATTTCTGGGACATATCAAGATGGAAGCAGCAGGAAGAAAAGAAGACAGCCCCCTCCACCCCATCCCCCAAACTCTGACTTATTGGCCTCAGTTGTTAGGAATAGCAAATGAGAAAGGGAATACGAATGTGCTTTGAAGATTATAAAGTGTTATTTAAATGTGAGGTGTTGTTATTAGTCCTTATAGTACTAATACAGTAGGAAAAGGAAAGAATGATACAGCACTGTGTGGTTTGCCTCAAACTGCTGCTGCCCCTTGATCTTCAACCAACTGAAAGACAAAGTAGGTGGGAGAGGCCAGCAACAACCCTAGACCAAAGGAGGGGAGCGCCTCCTGGTTAGTCCGGAGAAGAAATACAGGAAGCAAAAGCAATTGCTGCTTCTTTCATCATTCCTCCTCTGTGTAAGCTTTCCTTCTATCCACAAAAGAACCGAGAATCAAAAATCCCGGTACCATGTCTACTTTCTTCTGAAGTCTGCTTTCTTCAGAAAGCAGCACTACTGCTCGAGTGGCTGTCACAGTCTTTGGTAATAGAACAACAAAAGGAAGAGCACAGGATAAAAAGAGAGAGAAGCAAAGAACTATCAGGGAACAGGTAGAAAATAAAGATCTGAGGCTCCTTTTTATTCTGAGGATTAGCAAGGGATAAAAAAAAATCCACACTTCTGTTTAACACACAGCAGCAGGTTTTCCATGCTGATAAGAAACCCAGACCCCAGAGGGTCTCCAGGGATATTGCAGGCACACAGTCTTTGAAGCATTCTTCAAAAGATCAATATGTATTCATTCAACAAATATTTTTTGAGCACCTACTATGTGCCAGGCTACACTATATGGTGGGTTAATACCAAGCTATAAATTGAGATAAGGCAAAATCCCTAGAGCAAGGAAACAGAAAGATTGCTATCTATCAGAGATGTGTGCTCTGAATTGCCAATATCTAAGGAGAGAAATTAGTTCTTGAAAGCTGAAGGAAAGGAAGTAGATAAAAAGGAATGTCCTAACCATTGTCCTCTCCTACCCAAATGACAGGAAAGGGGAGAATGTGTAGACCTCGGAGAATAATGAAAACAAACTATCGGGCATGTCGTTTATCATAGGTGTTTTTAATCAAAGTATGCTTTACATGTTTGTAAATATGCACAGCCAATCCTTCAAGATACAAATATGCTTAATATTTAAATACAGATAATAGTAATACTCAAAGTAGTTGATATTTTGTTGATGTTAAACACTGAGTAATACCTTAAACTTCGCACAAAATAAGCCTTACTTTAAGCATGGTTTGGGAAATTTACTAATAAGCCTTGAAAAAAAGCTGAAAAATTCTTCAGGTATTTCTTTCACCCTTGTCAATTATATTTTATACTCTGTGGGAGAGTATTAATCTGTGGCTCTGTCTTAGAATATCTCACTGCAATAACTAGAAGAAAATAAAGCAAGAACAAACCTTGGAAATGATCACAAACCTTGGAAATGATCACCACCATCGCCAGGTTTGCAGAATGAGCTGCTACATAACCAAGCATCATGATGCCAGGCAGCCTTATATTTCCCTTGCAGGACCCAATACAGTCAATCACGGCAGCAACTCCTCCCGCGTTAACTATCAACTGCGACAGCTAAGAGAAAAGAAGGAGAGCTAGCTACTCGTGACCAGAAAGCATAAGATGATCTTTAAATATTACTTTAGTATTGCCAAATATTTTTATTTAGGACCTAAAAAAATCGGGTAAAATCTGAAATATCATTTAGTGAAATTATTATATTCATTAAAGAAATGTACATGTATAGTAATCCTGCTATTTCAAATGTACAAATATACTCACTGTGAGGAGCTCTATGCTGTGGTTCAACTTTTCATGCATTGATGGCACAACTTTTCTCCCTGTTATAATGCATGTCAAAATTGCTCACCGAGACATTAAGCCTAGGGCTAGTTCATAACTAGCTAACTCCTGAAAGCCCCAATTACAGTGTATGAGTATGAAGCAGATTAATCACTGAATGCTGAAAGACAATGTCAGACTTTTCTTGAAATAGTCTAGCCTAATTATCCCCTCTTTGCTAGCAATGATTGCTAGCTGACTGCACTTCAATCTTGAAAAATCTCAACCAAATAAAGATGTTAGGTGAAATAAAGAATGAGGACTTTAAAGTCTAGTGAAATGAAATTGACTAGTCAACATATACACAGAAAAAGATACATCTTCTGAATCCACCCAGGCTTGCTTCCTCTCTATTCGTTTGGCCTCTAAGAACTCAGAGTGGGAACCACCATGTAAGAGCAGCTATTAGATGGTCACACCAGGCCAGGGGGCCTGGTGGTCTCTCCAACCTGGAGGTGTACTATCTCACCATTCCCAGCTGACCTAAAATGACAAGGATGACAAAGGCCCACGATCCCCATGATCCAGAAATGGAATGCAGAAAATGGTTAAAAACTGAGATTTCAGACTCAAACTCCATTGATGTAACCTAGTGGTTCTCAGCTGGGGGCACTTTTGTCCCCTGGGAAACATGTGGCAATATATGGAGACATTTTTGATTGTCACGATGGGGGAAGAGGTACTACTGGCATCTAGTGGGCAGAGGCCAGGGGATGCTGAGAAACATCCATCCAGCACGCAGTGTGCAGGACAGCACCCCACAACACAGAATTATCTAGTCCAAACCGCCCATAGTGCTGAAGATGACAACTTCACCCTAGCGAGATCATGTGGCACAGCACTTGGGCCCTGTAAACAAACTGATGTTTTACTTAAAAACAAAACTAACTACATATTATTGCATTTTGAAGTGTTTCTTTTTTTTTTTACCTCAGGTGTGTGTTTTGCAATCTCTCTAATTAAAGTAGAAGCATTTTTCTTCACATATTCATCTTTGTCCTTCAGACAGGTGAGTACAACTGGAAAAATCTCTGCTTCAACCACCATTTCTGCCAGATCTATAGAATGTTTTGCAATCTGACTGAGAGCTGAAAGGATCTGACGCTGTTAAGCAAAAACCAAAATAAAACAAAACATTACTACCTGGAGTCCACTGTAGAGTTCAGATGTAATTTAAACAGCTTTATACATATTCAAATTCCTTTATAAAAAGGAAAAAACAATTACATATCTAACATAACCTAAGATTCTGAATCTCAAGACATTCACATCCTAGTCTTATACCTAAATTCTCAATTTCTTGAATTCCCTAATTTCCAAAATAAATGTCTTAGTTCTCTATGGACTATTTAAATCTCTGTCTATTGCACACGATAAAAAAAATATGACCTCTGAATGAATACTATTTCTTAATTATGTAATATTTAAATTGTTAATGTATAATACATATATAGTACAAAAATAATCAAGCAGAACTAAGATCTTATTTTTGGCATGATGCTGATAACATTTCAAAGAACTTTCCATTGCTTGGTTAACAATAACAATTTAAAAACCTTATAGAATATAACTATTAGAATAAAAAAGTATAATTGGTGACTATTAATTGAAAATCAGATTTTAGAAAGCTATAAAAAAGACTAATATAAGTATGGCAATTTTCATAAGAAACCTAAATATAATAGTGGTGGGCTAGAAAACCTTTAGGTCCCTTCCAACCCCTCAGATTCAATCATGTGATTCCTTATTTTAATGATTAATGTTAATACTAATGCTACTTCTAGTTTTCAGATTGCACATATTTTTCCCAGTCATGTCTTTACTGTCTAATCTTTACAGCATAATTTTCACATATTAAAAGACCAAATACATAATATATTCATATCTGTTTTCAATGATAATTTACTAATTATTTTAAAATGTATCATATTAATCTATACACATTTCTATTTTCTTAGATTATCAGAAGCCTGGTTGTTTGTTTTTTAACTTTATTTTTAAATACCTTCAATTTAGCATCAGGGTTCAGGATCATCTGGGCTAAGTGAGCAGTAGCTCCTGCATCCACCACCGTCTGCGCTAACTCTGGAGAATGCTTTGAAATATCACTGAGGGCCGAAGCAGCAATCCTTCTCAAAGCAATTTCTGGCTCCTGGATACAGAGTACTAAAAGGGGAACCGCTCCTGCATCCACCACAGCTTGTGACAGTTCTGTGGGTCCAAGAAAAGTAATTAAGTGAGTATGGGTGACTGACCCTTGTGCAAGCCATTTTTCACCCTGACAGATACAGCAAAGAAAAAAGGGGAGGGTGTACTTCACCGTCTCCACATCTGCATTTCAAATCAGCCTTCCTGGTTTCATAAACCGTGTGGACCAATCCTGAGCTGAAAAGAATACAGGTCAATAGATGGACCTCCATTTACATGAACACATTTGAGGTAGATTAGGCTGAAATGCTTGTTATTCTTTTTTTTTTTTTTTAAGAGAGTAAGCAGATGTCAGCTGTTTAAGCTCTGACAATTCTGTACTTCTCAATAGGCAAGCATTTTATGCATGGTTTACAATAACAGAGAAAATTAAAGTACCAAAAATTTACCAACCACACTAATTAGGTAGTATTTTGTGCTATTTACTTGAGTAAACATTAACATGAATCTTGTGCCAATAATGTTGATTTTTGAATTCCTTTCATCTTATAGTACTTTAAAAAGATTTTTAAATACTTTATACAAAATAAAAAGGTGCATTTTCATTGTACATATAAAAACACTTTCAAAAATGAGATCTACAACTGAACAATAAACTAATATATATAAATGTTAATGTTTAGATAAAGGAATAAATTTATCTTAACCATTTTACATGTCAGAAATAAATATCTTTCAAGTATACAAGTTGATTTACTTGTGTGTCCAAGAATAACAGCTATAAATATAACACATTTTAAATTATAGAGAATGGGAGACAGGCAGGCAGACCCATATAATATATATGTAAAAAATGTCTTTTGAGAAGCATAAAATACCGGGCACAGTTACAGATTCTATTCTCATTGTATTCATAGACTCTCGTACTGAACCACATATAACCATTTCTATAATCTCTTCCTTTCAAATTATGTTCTCCTTCTCCCAGATTTGTAGTGCCTTGATAATTTATGTCTTAATAGCCAAACTAAGATATCTATTCAGCACATCACTTAAAGTCTTTAAAGAAAATATGGTGTTTAATTTTTCAAAAGATTGGTAATATCACATTTTCTAAATGGAAATAATGTTAGAAAATACAGGTTAATGTCCAACATTTGTTTTCCTTAAATTATGATAATTATCTTAGAAGTCCCAATATTGTATAAACAATTCATTCATTCTTTCATTAAACAAGTATTAATGGAAGGTTATTATGCGCCAGACTCATTCAACTCTGGTGCAGATGACACACTTCTACAAATTAACACTACATTGGTTAGCAAATATGTTTCAATTTTAAAAATCTAGTGTAGGGCCGGCCCAGTGGCATAGTGGTTAAGTTCCCGCACTCTGCTTCTGGCGGCTCGGGGTTTGCAGGTTCGGATCCTGGGCATGGACCTACGTACCACTCATCAAGCTACACTGTGGCAGGCATCCCACATAAGGTAGAGGAAGATGGGCACAGATGTTAGCCGTGGGCCAGGCTTCCTCAGCAGAAAAGAGGAGGATTGGCAACAGGTGTTAGCTCAGGGCTAATCTTACACACATACAAACACACACACAAAATCTAGTGTAAATTATGAAATACAATGGGAAATTAACATGTAATCTAAAGAACCAGAGGCAGATAAGAGGAAACTGGTTAAAAAAAAAAAAAAAGACAACAGCAGCAACAGACTGGAATATCAACCTAGCAATACAGCAGATTCCTCAGAAACATCTCTGGGATTCTACTGCAATTGCCTAAAGACCAACAAGTGAAACAGGTGATCACTGTTTCTCTCCTGCCACCCCCACCCAAGGGAAATGGGAAGAAAACATAAAGTGTGATGATATATGTAATTTCTAGACATAATTCTCATGTTTTATGTTAATTATTAACATGCTTAATTCAATTCAGATTATACAAGTGTTGTATAGTAATATCAACTTTATACGTACATATTTAAGAGCACCTGGAATATATATGATGGGCTGAACATTTTGTTTTGAGAGTATAAGGATTAGTTCATCTATTTATATAGTCTCACTTTTATACATAGTTTCTAAGAGTAAAGAATATACATTAAACTACAACTGTTTAAAGTACTATTAATAAAAATTTAAGGTTCTTTTTTAAAAACATCTATTATCTTTGTAATTCCAATACATTTTATCCTTTCCTTGAATAACTATTAGTGCCATATCCTCCTTTCCCTGAACTCTATAACATTAATAATAAAGCAAACTCTATTCTCCTGACTTGTCGCCCAATCCCATCCTCAGCTGTCTTCTATTCTCTCTAGAGTAATGGTGTTAAACGCAGGGAAGGCTGGGGAAAAAGTGGAGAAAGATTTGCTGTGAAGGTAATGAAGCTTCCAAGGACCTGGGCTGAGCCTAGCAATTTTCTACTTGCAATTTCATATACTTTACATCTCCAAACTTATGTGGTAATATGAAACCAAGATCTGCTCTTGGGTGGCACACATTTTTATTTATAAATAATGTTGTTCTACTTTCACACATATATTAGGTATAAAACAGTGTATATACAAGTAAAAATACAGTAGGCCTAAATAATGCACACTATACTATGTTGCACCTACTACAGGCTATTCATCCTGTCTCCATCACTGCTCTTTTTTCTACGGCATATCTTTCTCTCTTCCCTACTTTTGCTCCCCCTGGCATTTCTGTGCCAGTCACTGTTGGTGTCCACCCAAAAGTCTTTGCCAGCCAGGGCATGGGCTTGTGAACCAATCCTGGCCAATGGGGCCTGAGTAGAAGCCATCTGTGAGAAGTTTTCCTCTGTCATAAACCGAGATACACAGGAGGAAACACTGCCTCTTCTTTGCTGGACACGGTCATGTCTGCAAATGACATCTGGAACTCCTACATCCATCTTGCAACTAGAACGGAAGAAATCACTAATATGCTGAGAATGGCTGAGTACAAAAATGAAAAACATCTGGGTCCTCCATGACACTGTTCAGCTGTATAACCAAGCTTGGAACTGCCCCGACTCTGAACTTTGTCATGTGAAATTAAAAATGTCCTTATTGAAGATGGGCACAGATGTTAGCCTAGGGCCAATCTTCCTCAGCAAAAAGAGGAAGATTGGCAACGGATGTTAGCTCAGGGCTAATCTTCCTCACAAAAAAAAAAAAGAAAAGAAAGAAAAAGTTCTTATTGTTTAAGCCCTTTGCAGCTGATATTCTGTAACTCAGAGCCAAAAACATCCTGACATACTTCCGTCCTCTCTCATGCTCAGTGTATACATATTTTCCTCTCTTCCTTCAGTCATTGAGCGTTCATTAAGTGCTTACTATGTGCTAGAAACTTGGCCAGACATTGGGGAAGCAGAATAGAGTGAAACCTTGTTCTGTTCTAGAAGACCCTGCTCAGGGTGAACATATGAACAGAGCAGAGCTAGGCTCAGGTCTGTGGAGCATCTGGGGAGAATGTACACAGGGCTGTTTCAGACAGTGCTTCCACCTTCCTTCCTTCTCCCTGTTTCTTTTTTCCTATACTTTTCTATTCTGAAAAAAAGCAGAAGTAACCAAAACACGTACAAAATTCTGACATATTTAAAAAAACTTCCCACAGGAGAAATCTCACGGAGCTCATTTTTACACTCCAATTTGGAAATGAGTTTTGGTTCAATTAATTGTCATGCTTATGAAATCAAAGACTGATATGTACAGACTCAGATGCTCATAAAAGGTCTGACCAAAAAAACCAGAGAGCCAAGAATTTACCTTCAGTATGTGAAAAATCTTAGCCTCATTTTAAATTTTAAGTGAATCTTCAAAAAATTTTTTTTAAAAATACATCTTCTATTGTGCAATAATGTGACTATCATATACTGTTAGATAAGATTAAAGTAGTTGTGCAAATAAAAAGGCAGAGAAAAAAGCTATATGTTATACGAACATACTAACAGGATTTATACTGGGTTGATGGTACTATTGGTGATATGTTTTTCTTCTTCTTTTTTTTTTTTTTTTTTGCTGAGGAAGACTGGCCCTGGGCTAACATCCATGCCCATCTTCCTCCACTTTATATGGGACGCCGCCACAGCATGGCTTGCCAAGCAGCGTGTCGGTGCGCACCCAGGATCCAAACCGGCAAACCCCCGGCCGCCGCAGCAGAGCACGTGCACTTAACCGCTTGTGCCACTGGGCCAGGCCATGTTTTTCTTCATTTGCCAATTTTCTTCAATCTGATTATATATTTTCTAAAAATAAAAGAAATATGAGCATGTCTTTTGTCCATACATAGCTACTGCTGGGGCTAATTATACTAACATTACTATTATAAAGGAAAAATAAACATTTTAGCTTATTTCTCAATGTAGCAGAAAGTTTCTTTTTTAAAAAAATGGTGAGAATGTATGTCTCCTTTAAATAAAATATTAGGAAAGAGTGTATAATTATTCTTTGAAGAATTACTAATATATACTATAAATATTATCCATTTACTTTTTCACACTTTCCCTCTTAATTCATAGCCTTATTACATTCATGTTAAGATACATTTTTTAAGTATTAAGCGTTATGCGTTTTTAACATTTTTTTAGACTGCAAATTATCAGAATAAAACTATCCAATAGCACCTTCCTAATTCATAAATAGAAACCAAAGCCATTTATTGCATACATGTAGACACTGAATATACAGTCCCCAAATTTGAGGTCAGCTGTTGTCAGTATGGGAATAACTAGTTCTGTTTGGCCTCATGAAAGCTCATTGTTGAATGAAGGAACAGCCTCCCCTGAGGGACTGTGACAGGCCATCTCACCACCCTTCTCTCTGCCTCTTTCTGTTTTTCCATGAGTCTTTCTAATAATGTCTATGAGGCTTATGTGCATATATAATTCTTTGTATATGAATAACGTGACAATTTTGGGTGACAACTCTTTGCTTCTCACACTGTTGCCTTTTCTTAAGGATTTTATTCTTGGGACCCTTGGTTTTTGGTCTTGATTTTTTCCTAACAAAAGAAAGGCTGATCTTGTAGACTCCCTCACTAATAGGTGTGAA